GAACATTTATTTTGTAATATTTAGGAATAACTTTTATTTGTATTATTTTGCATGTTATTTAAATTGTTAGCATCTTTTTATTATTTGAATATGTTGCAATTTAATGTGCTTCACCAGTCTCCAGTCATGAGCATGTGTGCAATCTGCTGTGCCATGGCTTCAACTAAAATTAATTCTCAGTCAAATCTGAAATTTAAACAGTTTATTGACACTGTTTATTTTAGCCGTTGTGCCATTCCCTGGTGATTTATGCCCCTTAGGAACAGGAATGTCCAGGAATGTTTCACACCCAGACTTTACCACAGTCTCCACCACAAGCAATATTAAATCTGGACAGTTATAGGAATCAGAAAGAGTCGCCTGGTGCTGATTAAGGCAGGATTTTTCAGAGGGAGAGAGGGCAGAAGGACAAAGTCAATGCAGAGTTACCATTTTTTACTAATTAAAAATGGACTATTTGAATATTTGTGTATGCTAATTGGTTTATCATGTCTTTAACTTAGCAAATTCTGTTGGGATCAGTAGTGAATAGGGATGCTTTGTGTTATAAGTTGCTGCCTATGTTAAGCATTTTAAATCAATCGTGTATGACATTCTGTTTTGAGTGCAACCTAAGAAGTCAGCTGCCTATCTAGGTCACTAGGTTTTGGAACAAAGCAAAGGTCACTGTCTGAACCAGTTCTGCTTTACTAACACTGTGAATTTGATTATTGGCAGGCCAAGAGGAAAGGAAATAAATCTTTGTCCAGCTTTAAAGAGCTCCGCAAACCCTTCTGGAAGAGGTGAAGCGGCATAGCTGTATGCTTTACTCTTATAGGATTGAAGTAAACGGTGAGTCATTAGGCGAAGGTCCAAAGGTCAGTGCCATCGTGTCACTGACAGCTTATACTAAGGTGTGCTAAATTTGAAGAGATTGCCAACTCTGTCAAGCAGATGAGCCGTGTGTTAAGAGTGCAATACTGTTAACAAGACTAAAGTTGCTAATCTCATCATCCTACCAGTGGCATTGAGAGCCAGAGGGCAAAGTTCAGCTTTGAATGGCGAGCAGTTTGAGGCCTACACTATATAAAGGTTCCAAACTATGGTTTTCACAGTGATGCCATAGAAGAACCATTTTTGGTTCCCCAAAGAACCTTTCATTCAACAGTTCTTAAAAGAAACACTTTTTTTCTTAGTGTGAAGAACATTTTAAAAATCTAAAGAGCCTTTTTCCACTATAAAGAACCTTTTGTGGAATGGAAAGATTCCATAGATGTTAATGGAACCATAGATGCCAATAAAAAACCTTTATTTTTAAGAGTGTATGTGAAGACAAGCCATTGGTTTCAATCACATTTTTAAGAACTTCACAGTTCTGGTTCTGATTACAATTTTAGTAACACTTTTTGTAGGTAACGTACGCTTTTCTGTGGCCGTATACACAGTTGAAAGGTTAAAAGTTTACATACACCTTGCAGAATCTGCAAAATGTGGATTATTTTACCAAAATAAGAGGGATCATATAAAACGCATGTGAAAAAAAAAAAAAAAAAAAAAAAATTTTATGTCCTAAATAAGATATTTAACATACTTTACATAAGTTTACATATAGTCCACAATAGGACCGCTATTGTGGACTATATGTAAATAAATAAATAAAATCTGTGTGGTCATATTCAGAAACCAATGAAACCGAAACTAAATAGAGCGTTGAAACAGGAAGTGAAGTAAACAAAAGAGAATGTCAAAATAAGGATCCACATAACAACATAAACTTGACAATAAGATCGTTGCGCTATTGATGGCCTATATGTATAACAGTTAGTTCAGGGTCCGGTTGCATAAACCGCTTAGACTAGTCTTAAAAAGTTAGTCATCTAATTTTTTTTCTTTTAAGACTGGTCATAACTTTTTGAAGTCAGTTATAAAAAGGGAGAATGGTGTAATTTGAATTCAGACTTACTTTTTGGATTCAAATTACACCATTCTCCCTTTTTATAACTGACTTCAAAAAGTTATGACCAGTCTTAAAAGAAAAAAAATTAGATGACTAACTTTTTAAGACTAGTCTAAAGAACTCTCTTGGCTAGCTACTAGTTGATGAAACTAGTTCTTAAGACACAGTCTTAACATAGTGGTTATGTTTATGCAGCTGGTCCCTGATCTTCTAATCTGATCTTCTCACCTGCGCGCCTTCTAGATGGGCTGTCAGTCAGTGCAGTTACATTGTTATGCTACAAGGTGGCATAAAGGGACGGTCTTTGAGTGAGTCTTTAAACCGTTCATTCAACTACACGTTCAAAAACGCCGATTCATTCAAAGAGAGATGTAATGAAACACGCTGTTGAAATCTTTAACTTTGAGGGCCACTTTAGAAGGCTCAGCTGACCAGCAATTCGTCGATGCTAAGACGGATTTCGCTTTCCTTGGACATGACAACTTTTTTTCACGAATATGATTTGGCCTGAAGGACAGACGCAGATAATCGCACACGTTCAGTCGATCTCTCTCTCATTCACTGTCTGTTTAGGCTTGTTAAGTGCAAATCTGCGGAGCCTCTGTACAAATCAGCATGATACACATTGTTATTATTATGAACTAATATTTAGTACACATGCACAAAGTGTAAAATGAGAAGGACATTACCTCACGAAAAAAGAAAATACGCAAATATCGCGGTTGCTGCGGTTTTTGCATTTATCTGCGGTTGGCTCATCAATAGTGCGGTATTACGATTAGAGCCTGACCGATATGTGTTTTTTGGGGACCGATACCGATATTAGGGAGTAAAAAAGGCCAATATCGATATATCGGCCGATATTCTTTGTGTATATTATAGTACAGTACCAGTCAAAAGTTTGGACACTTTTCCATTCGTGTGTCCAAACTTTTGACTGGTACTATATATAGAATACAGTATATACATAAACGGAATATATATACATAAACACATTTTTTGCAATGATCACTCAAATGTGGTGATCAAACACTTATAATGACGTGACAAAGATATGTAATGGCATTTAACAATTTAACAAACTTTATTATCCAGTTTATCCACTTTATATGAGTCTGACATCAGTGCACTGAACAGTAAAGTTGAAGTTTATTTAACTATTTCAATTCAATTCCATTCAACTTTATTCCGTTGAAGTTTTTCACTTCGGAACATTCATTCACGGATTTGAGCTACTGTCTTCACACACAGACGAAACTTACTAGAGAAGTGGGAAGTGTGACATGATATACCTCTGTAAATAAATACAATATAAATTCAGGTCTCGCGCACTTTAATGCCCTTTGAATGTAACATGTACTTTCCCTTGGAACTGGAATCATGTCGGAATATCATGTGAAGTCCACTTCGTAGGGCACTTACGGTCGAATAAGACAACGCTTGAATGCTGCTGCCTGAACAAGAGACCTCCTTACTGAAGTGAAAGTGTAGGCTGGTGTCACTATCTCACGAACGTGGCGGCAGATCTCCACCAAATTCGGGGGATCCCTTCAGCTCGAGGAGCCCTCTCGAACACCACCATCTGTGCGTCAGTAGCCCCCCGGGATCGCCAGATCGGTCAGCGCCCGACCGCGAATTTAACCACCCGTAACTCCTGGACCCCGGGGGCTATTGACGCGGGGGTGGTCTCATTCGAAAGGGGGCCTCGAGACATACACTCGATTCGGCGTTCGAGAGGGTTCCTCGAACTGAAGGGATCCCCCGAATTTGGTGCGGATCCGCCGCACCGTTACGTAGATATGGCTGTTGAAAGTTTCAATGGTATTCCATACACTTAAGCTTTAAAGTGTTTCATCCAGGTCGCCAGTAGCAAACAATGGATCGCACTCTGCTGGACAAACTACACAATTACACCATTTACAAACATTTTATCTGCGTTTTATGTTCTGTAAAAAAAATGTAATATCGGAGGCATATTCGCAGATACTGATATATCTGCGACAGGCTCATATCAGCCGATAAAATCGGCAAAACGATATATATGTTGGGCTCTAATTACGATATTGCGGTTATCGCGACAACCCTAGTCCACAAGACAAAATAATAGCTACATTTATATTGACCACATTCAAATGTTTACATGCACTTGATTCTTAATACTACGTATTGTTACTTAGATGATTCATGACTGTGTTTTTTGTTTTGTGAGAGTTGTTCATGAGTCCTTTGTTTGTCCTGAACAGATAAACTGTTAAACCGCTGTTCTTCAGAAAAATCCTTCTGAAAATGTCTTTGGTTTTCCAGCATCTTTTGCATATTAGAACCCTTGCCAGCAGCGACTGTATGATTTTGAGATCCGTCTCACTGATGCTCAAGAAGGAAACATGATGCATTAAAAGCCTTTTTGAATTTGAGGATCAGGGTAAATGTGACTAAAAAAAATTAAACAAACTAAGAAAAACCTTCATCCTGTTCAAAGGTTTTTACGCTCGTGACTCATTTTAAGTTGGACGTGATAAAAATAATGACTTGCTGTGACAGATTAATTGAGTGAGTTGTAAGATTTTTGTTTTAATATTATTTCAGAACATTTTAGTATAGGATTTTTTTTAGTGGAAGAATGAACCAGTAACGGAACAGAATGTCATTAAAATCTTTTTAAAAGTCTTTTTTAAAATAATTTTTTAACCAGTAGAACCCAATTCCCAGCCTTACTCATAAGTCAACTCATTCCGAAATCAAGACTTATTCTGCATGGCTGGCTGTTGTGTGAGCCAAACTGGGGAGAGCTTTCGAATGAGTGATGGCACGGTTCGGCCTGTGAGGTCGTGGCCCAGTGAGCAGTAACATAACCCCAATCAGAAGCACTGACGTCGGTGGCCTGACTCTGCTCTGCTGTGCCTGCGTGTAATGTGCTGTGATGAGGTCAGTCCGGGGTCTGGACACAGCGTCTCTGTGTGCCCTCAAACCTCTGACTGGCTCATCCATCTCTTACTGGATTATGGAATATTAATCCCTGACCATCATTATCCTTAAAACAAACAAACCATTTTACCAACGTCAGCAAAACAGTTGCTTTTTTTGCCAGGGCCTTGTTCTTTATATGTGGATTATTGTGTTAGCGGGTGTAATTTTTCAAGATTTGACACAATCCTGGATTGGTCCATCAGTCATCTCACAGTTGTCGTCATAGCAACAGATCCAGAAGATTAAACTAAAATCAGAAGCAGGTTTATTTAATATAAACAGAATTTTTATTCTGGCTTTAGAAGAAGGTGACACTTGAATCAACATCCTAATAGATACTTTCAACAAGTTCATTAGGACCTCAGAGGGTCCACTTAACGTTCGTGTCAGAGGTGTCGGTTGGAAGTTGGGATCTCAACTCTCTCCCAATTCACAAATCAGCTTTAATTAGAAGCCGTCCTATCCAGAGACTCGGTCTCACGCGCTCGGATGTGATGGCATTAATGAACATCTCGCTTAGAGAGCGCTCTTTCCCGTCAGCATCCCAAGCAGCACATCTAATTAAACGTGATGAAGACTGGACCACCTGAGGAGGGAGAACAGCCAGTCTCGCTCGCCGAAGCTGTGAATGCTGGGAGTCGTTTCCCTCTGCCTTTTGCTTTACAGATACAAAGTGCTTACTCCTAAAATGGTTTCTTATTAGACTAAAGGTAAAGTTCGCCAAAACCATTCCAAATTATTTTTTCCCTTAAAGAGAAGTTTAGAACAATATTGACACTGTTCCTTTCTATGCAATGAAAGTGAATGGTGACCTGGAGCTATAAAGCTTTGAAAATGACAAAAAGCACCATAAAAGTGTGATAAAACTGATCTGTATGACGCATGCTTTTTACTTCATGTCTTCTGAAGGCATACTTCCACCATTCGTTTTTATTATGTGGAACAGAGCAGACCTGATATTCTTCCAGAGGTTTGCAACAGAAGAATGAAAATTGCAGGCAGATTGCTCCTTATGACTTTTATATGCTGTTTAGTACCTATTTAGGATACAAGGTCCAACATTGTCCCAAAAAACATAAATTTTAGCACAATGACCATAAGGATGAAAGCAGAAGAATCAATACCAGGAAAAAGTATGGACTCACCTGCTCTTTTTCCACACAATAGTAAAGTCCTTGGAACTTTGAAATAACACAGATGGAATATTAGGGATTATTTAATGACCAAAAATGATAAACAAACCAAATCTCTCTTATATTTGAACTTTTAGATTCCAGTTCTGCTTAATCTGGACCTAAACCAACTTTATGAGGTGCATCCTGAGATGCTTTTTAAACTGTATTGAAGGAGTTCACATGTAAGCCGGACACTTGTTGTTCAGGTTAATGTATCCATTTTATTAAATTAAAATGAATTAAAATAAAAAAAATATTAAATTATTAATTATAAAAAATACAAATACATGGGTATATTTCATTTCATGTTATTGTATTTTATTTTTTATTTTAAACATTTAAACAAAAGCCTTTATTTCAAAAGGTTTTAAGATCATGAGAAAAGTGTGTCTAGACTTTTGCCTAGTTGTGTTGGTCAATATCTCTGCATTTGTCCCACTCTAATGTTGTTTCTGCTTTAAAACTAGTTCTCTTAAATGATGCAAGAAGGAATGTTCCCATTTACGCTTGATGCCTCCATATCCACCACAGTTTTAAGTTCTCTGAGGACTTGAGGTACAATAATCTAACAAAATAATTCAGCATTAAAAAAATGTTAGGACTAACGTAAAAGCGCCATCCCAGATTATTACATTGTTTTGTGCGTAATCGTCCCCCTCCTTTTATTCTGTCTGACGTCAAACGTGACCGTGGTCAGCATGATAATCTCAGGACAAAGAGACCTGATCACGCACAACAAACAGGGAGGGATGGTCAGTATGTCAGTGTCTCAAATCTGAGATTGATGTCAAACATTGGTGGTGTTGAGTAACATGAGTAGTGTCAGTGTTTGGAAATCAAAGGCATATGTTGATAGTGCCATTTGCTATGTTAACCGTTACTAGTACTTTGCCTCATACTGAGGGATTTGAACAATTTTATTACAGTATTGAATGTTGGCGTAACTCATCTTACACTGTTTGTACTATTGACATGAATGATACCTCAGAAAACAAATGGCACACCTCTCTTTAACAAGCCATCTGATATAAGTGATCGAACCTGCGATTTTTCGCCTGACGGCTGATAAACTGACAAATAGTCCTAGAAGTTTGCCATATCTAGGGCCAAAAATGACTTTTTAATTAGTGCACTTTTGTCTTGTTTAAAAACAAACAAAAAAAAAAATATATATATATATATATAAAACATGACCAATTTTGTGAAGGAACATTGCATAAGATATTAAGACTTGTTTTCGTAGATTGTCTTGAATATTTAAGTGTATTTTGCCTTATTTTTCACTTGTTTTAACTGATGTATGCTTCAAATAAAATGGAAAAAATTAATAAAAAATCTGCCAGTGCACTGCAACAAAATATATTTGTATTAAAGATATACAATATTGTGCATTGTTGCTTCTCAAGTACATTTTTTTTTATACAAAAATTAACAATGGCATATATTTTGAGTTGTAGCAACATCTTGGCAACCATCCAGAACACCCTAGCTGTAGTAACATGCCACTGCTTTAGGAACACACTATGCTCAGAACTCCTTTAGCAACTTACAGAAACCTGCTCAAAATCAGGCAGAACACCTTAACACCACTAAGCAACACCTTGACAACCATCCACAGTACCTTAGTAACATCCTAGCAACCATCCAAAACACCTGAGCTGTAGTAAGCTTTAGCAACATGCTATAAAACACTCATAACTCCTTTGCAACATACAGAAATATGTTAAAACCCAGTCAGAACACCTTAACCGCCATATAGCAACGCCTTGATAACCACCCACAGTACCTTAGTAACACCTTAGCAACCACCCAGATCACTCTAGCTCTAGTAACATTCCACTGCTTTAGCAACATACCATAAAACACTCAGAACTCATTAGAAACATATAAAATCATGCTAAAACCCAGTCAGAACACCTTAATGTCTTGACATTGACCACCCACAGCACCTTAGTAACATCCTAGCAACCATCCAAAACACTCTTAACAGTATTAACATTTCACCACTTTTAAAACATGCTATAAAATACTCTGAACTACTTGACAATGTACAGAGACATGTTAAAACCAAGTCAAAACACCTTAACAACCACATTACAATGCTTGACAACCACCCACTTAGTAACATCCTAGCAACCACTCAAAACACCCTAGCTATTGTAACATGACACTGCTTTAACAACATGCTATAAAACAGTAAGACCTTCTTAGCCACGTACAAAAACATGTTAAAACCCATTCAGAACACAACCACATAGCAACGGCTTGACAACCACCCACAGTACCTTAGTAACATCCTAGCAAGCACCCAAAACACACAGTACCGTATTGGCCCAAATATAAGACGACCCTGATTATAAGACGACCCCCCTTTTTCCAGATGTACCTTTTGGAAAAAGGCTTTTTAAAAACCAAATCTTGTTTTTTCTCAGTATCTGAGACATACCATAGAACACACTCAGAACTCCTTAGCAACATACAGAAACTTAATACCTTAGCAACGCTTTGACAACCACTCACTGTACCTTAGTGACATCTTACCAACCACCCAGAACACCCTAATTGTAGTAATATGTCACTGCTTCAGAAACATGCTGAACTCCACTCAGAACACCCTAGCAACTGCATAGCGACGCCTGGGCAACCAAACACTGAGCATTATGGTGGTGTTTTGCACAGAAAATCTTGGTTATAATGTTGTTAATCTTTGTCACTCCAAACTAAACCATGCACGTTTTCTTTCAAACTTGGAAGTGTCAAATTTTGTGCCATGTACTTATAGTACTAAACAGGAACCAGTCTGGACCAGACATAAGATGGTTGACTCGACCGTGAGTTTTGGGTGGGACTGTTTGGATTTGTGCGGGTCAAACAATAGAAGACAGTGGGATTGTTTGGAACTTACTAAAAACAGTAATTATTTAAAATGCCCCACTTCACTTTTAACTATGTTCACTTGTTTCTGCTCCATTCAGGCTGAACGCATTTCAAGCATGAATGCGCTCATTACAGTGTCAGCACTCTTCTGAAAGGGCCGTCTTTACACACCATTGTTCTTCTCTCATGCAATCAGACTTCTGATGTTTGGGCTCCTGGGTTAGGTGACCTCTAGGTCGCAATCTCCTACCCAAAGCAGAACAGGATTGTGGGAAACAGGGCCAGGCCTGAAGGAGCAGGAACAGCCCTCCCACACAGCAGCGACGTATTGACCAGCTGCCAACACTACTAGAAGCTTTAGTTCTGCAAATGCTTTGCTTTGGGGAATGAGTTGAGAAAGAGGAAGAGAGAAGCAGGTCCTGCGTATGCCCTCATTGGCCTGTCAATTCAGCCTGCTGCTGATGCCAATGCCTTTGTGCAGTTTACTGTAAACAAACAAGCTTTTCTCTGTAAGTGTGTGGCTATTAATCACACAACGAAACACGTCAGTTTGATGCCCATTCACTTTTGTGGCACAACCGTGACCATTACTCTAATTAGAGGACCGTGAGCCTAAACATTTGTGAAAACGATAGTTTTTAGCCTATCTAAAAACTTTAGCCTAGTTTTTATTCATAAACAGGCTACTGTATGTCAGTACTGTATGCAAATTGTTCCCTGAGGCTTTGAAGAACAACTGAGTTTGAAATGCAGTTAAGTGAAGTTACATTTATTTATATAGTGCTATTTACAATATACATTGTTTTAAAGCAGTTTCACTGTAATGACAGTAAAATTACACTGTTAATGTTGTAAAAATCATCAGTTATTATGAAACTAATTTAATTTCAGCTGTAAAGCCGCTCTACAGAAGATAATAGTGCTATTATTCAGCTCAATTTAGTTCAATGTTGTTTCAGTTTATTTCGATGACTGTCAATTTTGTAAAGTTGATCAATTATGAAACAAGTTCAGTTCAACTATTAGCACTTCTACAGAAGGCAATAGAGTCA